ATTGCTGACATCTTCGGCAACAAAGAAGTGTATGTTTACGCTGTATAGATGCGAAAGTTTAGATTTTGGTACTACATATCTCCAGAACTAAGGAACGGATATCGTTGAAATTCGACAAAGATGTCTTATAAACTACTTTTTAAGTTTTTTTTAATTCCGCACAGATCAAATCTCGATGGACGACGCCGATAAGTATGAACATTTAATTAACAAAGATTAGAAAAGAATTACTATTAAGAAAACAAACACTAATCATTAGCTCCATTAAGGCATTCTCTTAATTGTGACCACAATTCGTTTTTTCAGAATACTATAAATACAAATAATATTATCGAATCTAAATTAAATGTAAATTCACTGGAGTAATTCCGCGTAGCAACACAAATATTCAGTGTAAATTCGCACTGTCACGGGCAATCTATCAAGCAATCCTGTCGCTGGGGGAATATTAATAGAATGAGAGTTCTACGCCTTATATCACCAGTTGTAACGCTTTCCATTTTGTATAATGACAATAAGATTTTTCGTAGTTAACACACCAATGTACGGATTTCAATAATCTTCGCAAATATCCGTGATATATTCCAATTTCAAAATCATGGATATAGTTTCACAAAGAAAAGAAACATTTCATTTGAGAATTTTTTTTTCTACTGTGATCTAAAATCTATCAAGAACCATGAGCTAAAAAATAGAACTGTATCCAGTATATAAAATGGCTTTATTATAAGCATATGAACACAAATAAAGCAACCAGGTCAACGGTAAACCTGAAAATAATAAGTATTTTCGTATTCTTTCTGTTTGCGTAATAAGAGAAACGTTTGTACCTAACAAATGTTACAGCGTCCCCACTTCCCGAGCTCCTTATAGACAGACGTATTTCAAAACATAACCGTTACATCGCTCACTGAGTAAATACGATTTTACGTGGAGAAAATATATCGGCTTATTGCCAGCCTTTACCTACTTTTTATTTATGTTTGATCATGTCAGTTATTTTATATTTCAATATATGCTATTGGTACAAATAATCTGAGTAAAAGTACACTTATATATACTTATTATAATAAAGCGTAAACACACACTTCTTTGTTGCCTAAGATGTCAGCAATTACAGTATATTTTTGAATAATTATTTTTTAAATAAAAAGCCCTACACTTACTTCATGCTTTAGGCTAAATATTTTCACGCAATTAAACTTAGGGCGTAAATATTTTGGATAAAAACCCTAATGTGGGAAAGAGACCATAAATTGCTGCCAACATTAAGAAAGATTGCTAAAGTTTGTCATTTCATGTCATGTCATTTTGTCATTTGCTATTGATAATTTTACAAATGTAAACGATAAAATAAATCTTAATTTCATGCGGATGAAGCCGCACGGGAACAGCTTGTCTATTAGTGTAACTACTTGAAATTAAGACAACAGTTTATGTGCCTAATCTGTAATTGCTTCTTCAAGGCAAACACTGGCCATTCAGTCATAAAAAAATGTGCCTAGTGAGATTATACACTGACAATCACAATCAGTCGTTGACAATCGCCACCAAGACGAATTTGTTAGTCTATGAGCCACGGAAAAGTCCCAGAATAAGAAATGAATAACACTTATTTTTCAAATAATAGTTGTCTCCTACGCTTCAATGTTTGTTAACATCAATCAATATGTTAATCTTGAACTATGTATGTATATCGTGAGTATAGACAATACGTTTGCTGTGGACAGCTAAAGGCCGCTCCTGACACTACGTTAGATATATCAGTACAGCAGTCAGTTACGGTCCATTCGATTGACTAAATCTGATCTAGATTGTTCTAAACGGTCTGTGATATCGTTTGTAACTTTAGAGGTAATAGTTACACAAATGCTGGCTATTTACGGGCAGTTTAGTGATGTGCTGTTTTTCATACACGACGTTAAGTAGTCCACCACTAAGGAAATCTCTTAGTTTTAAATAATGAATAGAAATCTACACTAATTAGCGTTTAAGTAACTATTAAACTGTATAGGTCCTGAGTACCTAAAATTTACTTTTGTGGTTAACAATTTACCAATACAAATGGCAACATTGAAAAGTTAGATGTCTTGAGTATAAGCTGTTATTTATTTTCTACTAACATGAATGTTATGATGCGTTCATAAAAAGTGAGTTGCGAAAATAATAACAAAGAATATAAAGAAAGGATAAAAAGTGTATTGTTGCGTAAGTACATATTGACACAATAGAGGGCGCTGACTAAACTAGAAAATGATAGATGCAAATAGCTATACGCTGTGACCCATACACGCTTTGTTGCCGCGATAAATTATGGGGCCAATTGTTTTCTATAACGACACTGTTTCGGCCCTTTTACTGCTTTTATGTGACCGATGAATTTTTGGGCTTAAATGTTTTAGTATCCAATATGCTTATCAACAATGGTTTAACTCTTTATAAAACCTTTTTCGTGGTACATTTTCTCTTCTGTTAGCTGTTATTTTAGAGTTCAAAAGCTACATTTATACATACATCCGTCTTTGGAACCATTTTGCCATTTTGTGTCAATGTATGAATGAAATTTAACAAAAACAAATTGATAAAAATGAATCAGATTTCCTTTGAAGTAACCTGGCTATTAAAATTCTAGTACGATGCATACGTCTTTTGTGAATCATAGCTTAATTATCGTGAATTTAAAAATAACATAATTCAGATCCGTCATATTTAGTCGAAAGCCGGGCAGAGTTAGACAGGCTACAAATCTCCAGGAATATTGGCAACGTAGAATTATATCAATAACAGCTAGGCCAGGGTCAAAGGAAATCATTTCGTTACGGCAACTTTGCAAGAAAGAAAGTTTCTTCAATATAACGAATTATTGGATTTGCAGACACGGCGTACGTATAATCATATCTGACGTTCGTGAATGATATCTTTTTCCCGAACTTGTAAAAGCCTGTGTTGTTTGATTTTATTCTATCGCCTTTGATTAACGTGTTGATACAATTATTCTTAATTTATCTATTTGTGTACATGATTCAAGTATAATAATTTAGGAAACTATTGCCAGGAAATAACCACTCATTTACTTCCAAAATATTTTGAATATTAAAGTTACAAAATTTTCAGAAAAGGTGCCAGGGCATCTGATATTATGCGAAGACCTTATAACGATACTAGAAGGAAAACTAGTAAGGAAGAGAGATGAGTGAAGACCAGAAATGACATCCAACATATAAAGGAGACAGTGGGCGTCCTGCCGTAGAAGAAAGTCAAGTGGGTAGCTCGAGAACTCCAACAAGAACGGACATACTTCTCAAGTAAAAGAAGTTTCAAGGTACATTGGTGTTCTTTGTATATTCACAGTTTGTCTACTTTATTAAAAGTCTCTCTTTTATCGTATGTCTTTTATGAAGCATCTCATAAAATTCACTAAACCAGTATTGGAAATAAATAAATCACTTCCGTTCAATTTGAAATAGTTGCTGAAGACGGGCGTGGGCAGGTGCATCTCACAATCTGTTACCGTCTCCACCTCGTAGCTCGACAAGCCGAGCGGTAAATATATTGTCTTATAAACCTTATTTCAAATAGAAATCTGATATTCTAAACATCGATTTTAGGTTTCGATAAGAGATCCTTTGTTTGTATTCCATATTTGAATTTTGGAATTTGCAATACTTCAGTTTGGAAAATACTTGAATAGTTGACTATAAAGGTCGCTTTTCAGTTTTTTCTTGACAAAGATGGTAATGTTTTCGTACATCTATGAGTTTGTTTCTATATATATAGGTTTGTGTAGACGTAAAATTTATTGTGACGGCCTAGAGCTTAAACGACTAAACCAATTTTAACAACTGAAGTGTTATTCGATTTGTCTTCTTCCCAGAAGTGTTATAGGATTGCCAAAAAGTACATATGTGAGAATTGGAATTCCTAAAAAAGTATGAAACCGAGTTAAAACCTCACGCGCCAAAACTTTTTTTTTTAATCTGTCTATTTTATTCGATGTTCACGAGTAGATTCTGTTACATTTAGTCGGTCGGTTTTTCGTTTTTCAAATTATGTTTTAGTTATATTCAACGTTCTAAGTAAAATAAGTGATTTTATCTGAACAATATCCCAAGTGGTGTATCCGTCTTCTTTGATTAAAACTAATTAGATAGTTATGTTAAGAGGAGTATCTGAACGGAGTATTTTATCAAACATTAGTCGTAATTGTTTTATAAATGATTTATATCCTTGGAGAGTCTCCAGAGTCAGTTGAAAAGTTAATCAGCTAAAAGCCCGGCTTCCTGGATTAAGAAACCAGTTAACTTATTGCGAATTGAGAAAGATATTTTTTTTCACGTCAGTTTTATTCCTTAATTAAAACTGCTTTGTCTGTTCTTGGAAGGGAATATTCGATTAAATTTCGACTCTGTGTTATGGGAAGGGTGGAATTAATTTTAATTTTGGTTACTTTAGCCGCAATTAAGGGAGGCTCGTTAATCAATGTGCCCAAATCTTTAAATGATTTAACTAATTAATTTTTATCTTGGGTTCAGGGAAAACATTTTTTGTGATTTATTAATGTTTACACTCTTTACGTACAAAAATGCATTATTTTTTCCAAAGGTCATAAAAATAATAATCATAATTTGGGTTACGTGAAAAAAATGTTTGAATATAGAGTAGGTAAAACTGAAAGGATAGCTTAAGTATCCGAAAGTTTTCAAAGATATATCACGAAATGGACTATATATTTGGTTATGATTAAAACTGTCCCACAACTGTTTAGTCGCGCTTTGTTTCCTATGAGCTTATATGGAAGTGCGCACACTACTCGATTTTTAGTTGTGCAACTAAACAGTTGAATGGGCTGCGAAACAATCGACAATCGACAATCGCACAATAGTTTAATGAAAGGTGTGCGTCCGCTCTAAAGTTGCATTAATACCGATTGACGTCAAATATCTGGTGATAATGATGATAATATGATAATATTGTCACAGATTAGAACATTTCCTACTCACCATCTATCCACAACAGCAGTACTACAGCCACCACTTTCTTAAACACACTCGCACTCACTGTCCCCATTGTTCCTGTAAATCACTCGCACATTTTATTCACTAATATCGGATATTACGTATCATATCTCGGTCTTTTCCATGTACGCTAAGGGATAGAGTTTAAAGGCATCATCGTAGTGAAGGGACGCTTGTTACGGGCACCTGTAACAAAAGAAACAATCTTTAGAGGGTTGCCAAAGGGACCTTAAGGTTCGAGGTCTCATTGTAATATCTTTATTGTATACATCATCTATTATCCTTTACATAATGTACTGAAATATAATTTGTAACATCGTAAACATAGGCTGATCGGAATTACTGTAGACATATTTTTATTGTATTGAAAATTGTACAGTCTAATTGTACAATTCAACTGACTGCAGACTGTTACGGTTACAATTACAAAAGTATAATTTACTAAGTATAAAATTTTCTACCCATAAAAAAAATTGTAATAAAATGTTTAGATCTCTTAAAACCTACTATAGTTATATTCTCAATTCTAACTGAACAGTCGCACAGTTCGACTTTTTTTAACAGTCATAGAGCCCGCTTTAACATCTTACGAAATGATTGGTTGAAACAGAAAACAGGCGTTGAAGCAATACCTCGTTTCTTCTTATGAATGTGGCCTAATTTTAGTCCCTTTCCTTTCCTACCATTTACTTATTCCTATATAGAGACGGATAGAAAGGGGAAATATTCTTTATGTGCGTGTCCTTCTCTGTTGATTAAGGGTTAGCAACGCTTCTGCAATTGCGGATGTGTATGGGCAGCGATCGCTTCGCATTCTTATGATATAAACAACTTAATAATGCAGATTTTTTTAAGAATATTTCTATATATTACGGTTGTTTAATAACTTCGTGTGAGTTATTTGACAACAGTCACATAAGTGTTTGCATAAAAACTTGGTTGCTGTTAGTTTTTGAAAGGTAACAAGTCTTTTGTACGTTGGTGTCGGGGCTTTGTACAGAATGAATGCCGGCTTCCGTGACGTCAACAAAAATGTCTCACGACTTTAGTTTTGCAACCATTACTTTTATTTTAATGATGGTAACATTTGAGTTGTTTCTGTATATCAGATATCCTGAATAACGTTTTATAAACATTCAATGCTTTGAATGATGGAAAAAATATGAAACTCTGAAATAAAAAATAATGCGTGGCGTAAACATGCGTAAACATTCTTTATTACAAGTACTTTTTTATGATTTTTTTAATACATTCTCACGCGAAACAAACTGTTAACTATCGTATAATCAGGATTAGTATAAATAAAACAGTAAAATTCACAATAATTTGGACGCACATGAATCTTTGCAACTAAATCGTATCTCTTTGTCAAAGAACTCACATAAAACACGTGCGAAAAGAAAGAAAATGTGACATAAAAAAGAATAGCTTCAGGTAGGGGAGAAAACAAGTTTTTTTTCTTTGGTGATTTATTTAGGCGGCGCAATGTGTTGAGGCGCGAACCCGTGAATGATCAATGACCCCAGTGACATGGCGAAACTAGCCGCCACCCTGTACTATAAAAAATGTAATAATTTCTTTATAAATATGAAATCTTTCTTGGCAATATTCCCGAAACGGACAACTGATGTAGTACATACAAATGGACTCACGTTTTATCTAATATAATTCATAGAAAAACGAAGAGTTTGTAAATACTTAATGGATAAATCAGTAAGCACATCTAGTCATTGAATGGGAAAATATCTTTGTTACGTTTTTGTTAATAATAAAGTTGCTTTCATTGAAGGTAAAAATCGTTTGGCAAGCGACAAAATTACTACTATTTGAAACAAATGTTCTTCCAAGCGATTGCTTTGAGCAAAACTTTCCGCACGACATGACCAGAAACAAAAAAGAAACACGCCGGAGCATCGCCGCTCAACATTTCAAGTTCAGCGACGCTGCCAAGAAACTATTCGGCTATTAGTTTAAGCGCTTCGTTCACTCGTTCATTTAAAAAAAAAATCCATTCACTCAGATCGAGTTCCATTAGCGAACCGCGAGTCAGCATTCGATCGGATGCGAGGTATCAAGTGCTCAATCTGGCACTCGACAAAGAGTCACAATAAACCGACCGATATTGTGTCTACACAATGCTGGCCGGGTATAAAATCCGGATATAAACCGGTCATAATGCTCCGGAAAAGTTAATTAAATAGGTCCGCTAACCGCAACGACATTTTTCAATTGATTCACAAAGATTGATCGGCCGGATAATGTGGGGGCCGGCTCGATGAATGGGGACAAGACTGTATTTTTACTCACTAAATTTCTTATAATGTATCACTTGACATTGAAATATATCCTAAAGGAAATTACGTTATAAATATAAGACGATCAGTCTATTTTATCTTTATTTGAAACCAAATGAGAATAATCAAGACGTTCATGATAAAGGACATATCCTGTATACGGACTCACACACACGAACACCTATGTATCGTAACAAAACTAAAATTCCGTACAATACCTATAAGTGTTTAGTACAACCGTTGTTGTACGAATGTTACTAAAGCCCGCTACACAGATATGTTTTACCTGTATTTAATTTAAACTGATGGTGTGTAGACTTAACTACCAAAACCAAGTCCATAATCAAACGTCAAAAAATATAGTATTTTATAAGATTACTTTCCTTATTGTATTGGTTTTTAAAGTTCTTAAGATATCACGTGGTACACGTGTTTTCTGCTTTCTTTTTTATAAACTGGATGTAGCTCGGGACTTCGTCTTAGTGATGACATAGCTTTTTAATCGTGCAAGAATTTTTATATTGGTCTATTATTTTTTGAATGATTTCAATACATACACAATTACAAATCTTTCCTCTTTATAATATTAGTAAGGAATATGTTATGCAGTAAATAAAATACTAATGTTTATAATAAGATTAAAAGCAATTGATCGATCGCAAGGCGAACGTAACTCGCGGGATCCCTTCCTAAGTAGTTTGGGCAATCATTCACTTTACATCTCCCAAGCACGATATACTACATAAAGATCGTATTACATTGTTATTTATTGACTCATATACTTCTTTTAGTAGGAGTATTACAATTACAATGTCAATAATTTACATCGAAATATACAATTGTAATAAATTCCTTCGACAGATTTATAAACATTTTATACAACAAAATAAAACAACAAAACATAATCAATCGCTATTTTTTTTTTTAAACATTCTACATTCCTTTATGATAAATTTAAAAAGTAACAAGGATCTTTATAACAATAAAATTAATATTTTATAAATTTAATAAATTTATAAAATAAGCGTATTGTTTGTGAATATTTTCGAGATATCAAAGGGAAACAAATAAGATATTATGTTACAAATATTCGATGCGGAAGTTTACGGAACCTATAACGATAAGCGAACACGAATCAGATAATTTGGACATTGTAATTTATGTTCCAGACAAATGACTTGTTCCTAAGGAAGAGTTATAACACGCAATCGCGAATAAATCCGAGTTATTTTGTCAGAATGAGCCATTTTTAACGTAACAAACTTATTATAAGATAAGCTTTAAGTATAACTATTATATTAACTTGAAGCGTAATAGAGTAATGGGTACGGATTTCCGATCCCGTGGTCGTAGGTTCAAAACCCATTCGACTATTGTCGTAAACAATTCGTAGCACAAGCTTAGAGCTTAGCTGGAATTGTTAAAGAAATATTGATAAATAATTAAAAAATATGCTGATATTTTCAACAATAAAATTAACTAGCTTTTGTCCCCAACTATGCTAGGAATTTGAAGAAAATCTTGTTAACTAAGCTATTGGTTAGAAGAAATGGACTATAACGCATGTGAATCAATAATAATATCTAATGATTAATATTTATCAGTATAAATACATTATTATGTACACACTCCTTACATTCATCTAAATTAACAACCACTCACCATACAAACATACACACATGCAAACACACAAACACACATTCTAGCACATGCACACACCTACACCTACATACTTACCTAACTAATAAATTTATTATTAATTAATATGAAATAATGGTGAATTGCTGAATCTATTTTGTTTTTTGAATTTTGTTATAATATTACACAAATTAAGGGAAGTCATTGGCTCCTTTAATACAAGGGATTAACCTAGTAAAGGAGCCAAGGATATACATATAATTGAACAAAATACCGAATTTAAAATTAGAAGTAAAAAAAAATGTGAGAAACGTATTTGTAAAATTATATTTGAATTGTGATATTGTATGTTTGTTTGTATAAATAAATAAATAAATAAATATTATTCAAACAACGTTCTGCATGTATGTAGAGTTTCACCACGTTCAGACTGGACAATTGGTCGTGTAACACGTTACGTTACACAGGTGTCGCTAGTAGAATTCATAAAATGTGTCTAAATGTACAGGAATAAATACGTAATAAGCACGTTGCTAATCTAAAATTGTCAGTTCCATACATTTTTTAATATCTTTATTGTTAACTAACTTCCGCCCGCGAATCCGTCCGCGTAGTATTAATAAAAACAAAAGAAAGTAGCCTATGTGTTCTTCCAGACTATCCTCTAAATCTGTACCAAATTTCATCGAAATCCGTTCAGCCGTTTAAGCTACCAACTCTAACAAACGTCCATCCATCTAAACTTTCGCATTTATAATATTGGTATGAAGTATGATTAAATGCTTCCGGGATAAACACAATCATCTGATTAAATGGCCACAAATCTGAGTGTAATCGGTTAACGAAAATACAAACTTTGATTCTTTCAAGATTCATTTGAAGTATGAAATTGTTTCATGTTGTTACACATCAATAAAGGCCCTTAAATATAATCAGAGCAAAACAATATTATTTTGCGTAACTAAACAAAACGTTAACAAACAACAGAGTTTTTAAACTGTTCTTTATACTTGAACAAACTTACACCAAAGTTCTTTGAGGAAAGTTTTAACAATACTAGACTATTAAATTATGTTTAACTTCGTGATATTAATGAATTTGTTAACGAAAATTTTAAAACATCATTACAACAGTCAATTTAACAATGGTAGAGCCCGCTTTAACATCTTCGCACTGCAGGGTCGGCTCGCCCGGTGTAATACCACGACCAAACAGAAAACAGGCGTGAAGTGGAAGCAATTCCGCGTTTCGTCT